TAGAGATCCTAAGGGAAATCTGTGGCAGATCTTTACAGGTCATTCACAGTATAATGCTCTTAGAGTTGGAGAAAAGTTTTGTTTTCCCAACAGGAAATTATTCTTCTTTTGAGGAACAGCTTCCTCCTTGTTATGGGTTCCCATCAGAGTCCTGACACTTAGTATTGGCCATCAAATAATCAGGTGACCATAAATATTCATATTAACAAAGTGTTATCTGACTCATCAAGTCTTATGTAGCGGTACTCCATCAAGTGGAAACAATAGATAAATTTTCCTCCAAACATTTTGAAGTCACAAATCAGTTGCATGGAAAGTGGCTTAAATTCCCAGGGCTTCTATTCCTGCCACACAGCCTCCTCTCTCTCATATGGAGTTGTCTATTATGGCAGAATGAGGAAGAACAATTCTATCCTTGTCCACAGATGGCTCTGCTCACTATTCTGGCACTATTTCAAGTAGACAGATCAGGCACTACAGGTGTAGCCTCAAAGCAGAGTAGTGAAGAAAATGTTTCCAGTGGGAAAAACTTCAAGCTATACGCCTGATTGTTCATGTTGCCTGGCAGGAGATACGGATAGAGGTACATATCTAGAATGAGTCATGAGCACTGATTAACAGTTTGGCTGGATGGTGAGCAAGTTAGAAGAATCAAGATTGGAAAATCAGTAACAAGGTCTAGAGAAAAAGCATGCAGAAAGACTTCTCCAAATGAGCACAAAATATGAGGATATTTTTGTCCTCCATAAATGCTTACCAAAGAGCAACTTCCCAAGAGGAGTATCTTAAAAATCTTATGCACAAGATTATCCATTCTTTTATTCTGAAAATTGCCCAGTTGGATCATGAAGAGAATGATCATGGAAGCAGAGACAGAGCTTATGCATGGGCTCAGCAACATGGACTTCCTTTCATTAAGGCCAATTTGGATAGAGCCACTGCTGACTACCCAAACTGCCAAGAGCAAAGATCTACACTGAGTGTCTGAAATGGCACCATTCCCTGGAGGAACCAGCCAGCCACCTGGTGGCAGGTTGATTACAGTGGACCATTTCCATCATTGAAGGAGCACCTCTTTGTTCTCTCTGGGAAAAAACACTTAGGCTAGATATGGTTTTGCCTTTCCCACTCCTAATGTTCTTGCTAAAACTACTAGCTGTGGGCTTACACCATGCCTTATTCACCTTTATAGTATTTTATATGACATTACTCCTCACAAAGAAACTCATTTTATAGCAATGAAGTGCCATGTTGGGCTCATGCTCATGGAATTTACTGGTATCCTCATGTTCCCTTCATCCCAAAACAGCTGGTCTAATAAAATTATGGAATGGTCTTTGGAAGACTCAGATATGTCACCAACTGGTGAAAGCACTCTATGGGGCTGCAATAATATCTTCCTAGATGTAAGATATGCTTTGACTCAGCTATAAATATGTAGCAATGTTTCTCCTATGCTCAGGATTCATGAGTCTGGGAATCACAGGGTCGATATGAGAATGACTCCTTTCACATTAATCCTAAGGATACATGTAATATTTTTGTTTCCATTTTGTACATATTTGGACCTTTCAGATTCAGAGATCTTACTTCTCAAAGTAGAAATTCATGAGAGAATACAACATTGTACTGGAATCCACGACTACCATTGGCTATTTGGGGCACCTCAGACACAGAAACAACAGGAAAGAGGCAGGGGTAGAATTCCCAGTATTCAGAAGATCCTCTAGAACATCCCTTAGTCTTACACTATTTTGTGGTAAAAGATCATTAAAAGCTACAACAACCTAATAGAGGCAAGACTATAATGATATAGATGCATCAGGAACCAGGATTTGGGTCACTCTACCAAGTAAGGAATCACAATTAACTGAGACACTTTCAGGGAGCAGAGAAAATATGAATTGCGTAGAAGGAAGTTATAAATACCATCTTTGATCTTATGACCTCTTATGATCCCATGGCTGAACATGAGGGCTCTGGCAGGCAAATATATTTATGTATTTATTGTTTCAAAGTAAGTGTATTTGTGTGTGTGTATGTTTTCCATTTCCCCAATTCCTTACTCTAACAAAATATGTATTAATAGTGGTTACCTATATCTCAGGATTAAAGCTACAGAGTATTCAAATGAGTGTTTGAATGAGTAAAGGAAAAATTAGCGTAACCCACAGCTAGGTAAGTCACTCTGTGTGTTCTCTTTTGGGGAGTGGCTAGTGTGTTTTTGTTGTACACGATAGTTGTATCAACTTCAGGTAAAAGAATGACTTTGTTTTTGTCCTTATTTGGAAGTAAATATGGTCAACATATGTGACTACGAAAGCTGTGTTGACAAGCGGTATACTGTACTAGACTCTACTGTCAATTTGGTTGACTACAAATTGCATTTCTCCGAATTCCTTTTCCTGTATTGTTCAAAGTGAGATTGGCCCAAAAAAGGAACTGTGGTGAGATTTTTAAGGTAGAAGTGAAACACAAGTCATTAAGCTTGGATACCCAGTGATTTCCAGGCTGTCCTCACTTTTCCTTACTCCACATCCAGCTTGTCTTCCTGCCTGCTGACCTCACTGACCCACAGTAGCACAGGTTCACCACCAGGTGCTCACTCACAGACCAACAGAACTAGAACCTACACAGAAGCACTGGTTTCCCATAGCCCCCTTCAGAACCCCTGGCTGAAAACCATTTCAGTGACTGGACATGTGGGCTTCACAGATTTTTCAGTTCCCCCTTGTCCACTCACACCAGTGCTTCAAGCAGATGAGTGAATCTTTCTCCAATCTACCAGTTTCCCTTTTCCAGGCTTTCATTGTCAAGCTCCTCCTTTGTTTATGTTGGTTTAAATTTCTGTAACTCCTTTATTTCCACATATTACAAGAACTCTGTTTTCCTGCAAACCCTGACTAATAAATGTAGCATAAACACAAACTATGATTTTTGCTGTTTATTTTTTTCAGATAGCCCTGAAAGTAATCCAAATAACATATACATTAATACGTTACAAAAGTGTGGCTCACCTATGAAATGAACAACCAAACAGGAAGTCTGGAACAAAGCCTGTATGCTGTTCTGGTGATGGCTGCCCTTTGGGCTGCATATCCACTAAGTGGATTCAATGCAATTACAGTACTCTTTGTTGAGAGACTACCACCAGGGGGCAAAGATTATATCTTAATACAAAGTAATAACAGTGAGAGTTATTTATTTAGCATCCAGTATATAAGTATTACTGTATTCTGCCATTTATTTAAGCTTTTATCTCCATGAATCTTGCAAGTTAAATATTATTACCCTTGTTTTACTGAGAATAAATGTCCAGAGAGTATAAGTAACCTGTCCAAACCTTATCGATAAGTCCATTCTAGATTTCCTCAACTCCAAAACAAATGCTTCTTCTAGGAAGACATATTGGTATTTACCTTATAGAAAATGTACAAAATGTATTATCATACAAGGCAGCCATTACACTCTTGGACAGCAGTTAACTGTGAAAAAGTCATTCCTTATGTTCCTCTGAATACTCTATGAAATGTTTGCCTCCCAAGCCCTCTAAATGATACAGGATAAAACCAATTCATTTTTGTCATATGCTAGCTCTTAAAGCATTTACCCCCTCTTTCTTCTCACCACCAATCAGTGGCTTAGGAGTTCAGGCTTCAAGCAACATCCATGGACATGAATATCAAGATTACAAAGAACTCATTGATGTACCAACATCGTCAAATAATACCGACATTGGTTGATTGGTTGTTTTTGTACACATGACAATATAGACTGTGAACAACTTGAGGCAAAGTCTTATCTTAATCACTTCTTTATATCTTGTGCCTAACACAGTGCATGGCATGAAATAGGGTGCTTATTAAATATGTATTGAATGAATAAATTCTTAAGCTAATATTTCCTATCTTTTATTTATCTCGGACAGTGAAAACCTAGTATTTGAGCACCTATGATATATCAGACACTGTACAAAGCTGTGAATGAACAAAACAGACATGAATCCTTCCTCAGACCTTGGAGTCTGAAGTTGCTGAAGTGAGTATAACAATTCTACTCCAGATGACTCATACTACTAACTTTAGGGAGAAAAAACTCTACTGCTGAGCATCAGTATCCTCACATACTATTAAGTTGTTAGACAAATAACCTATTTTAGGTCCTTATATTATTATAAAGGGTATGGAATGTGTAAGCATTATATAAATTAAGTTTTATGATTATAAAATTGTATTATAAATATGAATACTGCCCAAAACGGATGTTCTTCCAAGTTCAAAAGCAATTCAGTTTCTCAGATACAAGCACATCATAAGACCACATAATAATGCAGTAACTATAGGATTATTGTTTTAAACCATATCTCTACTGGATAATGTAACTTCCTTTAGAGCAAAATATTTTACAATCAGTGTCCTCTATAGGATTTAGCACTTTTCAGGAAAATAGCCTTCAGTAAGTGGATTAATGCAATAGAAACAACTGAAGAATCACAAAGGAATCTAACCTGAATACCATTTAGGAGATTGAAGAACCCAGTGAAATTGTATGCAAAACTGTGTGTCTGTAGGCCATTTTGTAGAGTTCTTCAGTTTTATCAGGGTCTCAAAGAGATCTATTATATGTAAGAGTTTCTTACTCAGTATATATTAATTGAATTTCAACTACTTGCTAGACATTATACTATGATTTAGGCTTAGAATCTAAAATTTTTTCTAATAAATGAATATTGAGAACATTAACATTTTCAAGATCTGCTTTCTTAAATTCACACCATTAAAATTAATGCATAACCCGTTAAACACATTTACATCCTAAATCAGCATAAGATTTTCTGAAGTAACTTAATATCACATTTTCTGGCAAAATATTCCTTGGAAATACATTCTTACTGGCTTCATGAAAAAAAGCCTCCATAATAATATAACCTATAGGGCTTTAATCTATAGGTGCATAGACATATATATGCATATATACACATACACACACACGTATATACATATAATTTCAAAATCTTTAGTGAGTCATGCTGCTCAAATTGTTTAAACAATCTCTAATTCATCAACTATCTTATACCACCACTGGGTTTCCATTTATTTTTAATAACAATGAAGCTACTGTCCTTCAAAAAAATGATGACATACAAAGAAAATGTTCTAGAAATTGTTTTGTAAGCAGTTTCCTCAGGGACTTTCCACTGACTGAAATAAATAGTTTTCACATGTGCCAGATGGAGGAAAAAAAGTATGTTTAAAATTGCAAGAATACCTCTGAAACTTCGTGGCAGTTTTTCCCCTTTGGAAATCTTATGTCTCTCCTCACTGCATTAAGCATCAACTATCTCCAGTTAATAAATATTTATTTGAGCAGCTATTTTAGTTTTCTGAATAAAATTATTCTTACCTTTCAGAATGGCTGCCATATATTCTTGTCCCCATAAGAAAAGGATATTTCCCCAGATACAAGCATAAGCACACTTACAGTTTGAAACTCTCATCCACAGACGTGCACTTTACAGTATGAAAATTTTAATGTAGCATAATCCAAAGTGACTATTTGAAAACACGGTCAGTTTATTCTTTGGACACAATGTTTCTAATTCATGTACTCTACAGAGCTCAGTTGTAATTGGTGATAGCGGCCAGGAGATGGCGCGGTATCATTTTCTAAAATTTACTTCGTAGTCTGTAATCCAGTGCTAACTTTAAAGAGAAACGGTTTTTAACGGCACTTGTTTTCACAAATGGAAGCTAAGATTGAAAAACAAAACACTCAGAAAACATAAATTCAAATTTCTCCAATGGTTTATTCATTACGTATCATCTATCTGCAAATAAAATATTTTTAAAATACTTTGAATAACTTTTTTCTTTCCTATGAACAAGGGACAGAATAAAATGTTTTGAAGTAGTAATTACTTAGAATTGCCTTAATTGTTCAATTCTTCCTTTTGGTTTATATTATGATGGATTGCTTTATACTTACAAATTTATTTTATCACTAAAAATTCCACTTTTCAATAAAATAAAAACAAGTATAGTTTTTAAAATAAAACATTTTTGCAAATGATAATTTAGGGAGAAAATTCACTAAAGTAAATATTTCCTGAAATAGCTTTATTCAAGGCACATATAATGTTCAAATTTACTTCTTTCACTTGATAAATTCGAAGGGTCTTCAGATCTAACGCCAATTATATTGCTTGTGAAAAAAATAGCATTTTAAAACCTCATAATCTATTCACATACTTACTGAAGTGTATTAATGGATATGTGTGTATGTGCATGCACATGCATGTATTGCATGCTTCTAGAAACACTCCAGAAAGGGGGAATGGGCATATACATTACAGACTGTCCTGATTTGGTCTGAAATACAGTCTACCACAAGTTATTGAGTCTTTACTGGAAAGGTAGGAAGAATCTCTAATCATCCCTGAAAAGGCATAATCCAAAGCTGGCCGAAAAGGCAGGGTGGGTACCAACCCAGGTGTTAGGTAGGGTGACATAAAACCAGATAATCCTCTTCCTGCAGAAGAGTATGCCAGCCTTAATGGACTGATGCCTACTCTAGGATTTAAGCTGTAGAGATTTGAGTCACCTCCGTAAGATGCAGAAGTAGTTTGAAGAGGAGAGAAAGCTGATTTATTACCTAGAGTTCCAAAACCAATTCCCGCAAGATTAAAACTTGAAGCTCTCTGAAAGGCTGTGCTTTCCAGTTCTCCTGAGCTTGCTAGGTTCCTGTTTTCTGGCTTGTGTTCTTTGCCATTTAAAACCTGTTCAATGGCTTGGACCACATCCCCTTTGCAGAACTGCAGAATGCCTTCTAGACGGCTGCGCCTGTAATTTGGGAAAATCTTGGTAAGGATATCAAGAGGATCTCTTGGTCTTGAGGACACTGTAGGAAGGCTGGCCCTGGTCGCACTCAGGTCTTTGACGCATTCACTTTCATTTCCTGATTCCAGATCAGAGGATGATAAGGACCTGGGACTCTCTTCACCTTCTGATTGCTCTCCAGGATGAGAAGATAGGATACTATCATGCTTGTTGGAGTATTCTGAAATAGATGACCTGATGCTTTGTTTCCCAATGACACCATTAGACCTAGGAGATGATCCCAGGGAAAGTTGATGGGATTTGGAGATTGGTTCTTGTTGTCCATTCTGGCACGAATCACATTTACTCTCTTTTTGTTCTGGAGAAAAGGGGAAAAAAAACAATCAAATATAGGGAAAACTTTCCAGAACATAGTACTACTCACTCAAAAATAATGCTGGATGATATAATTCATTCACTTATAATAATCAGTAGTATTTATGTACTCCAAGACATTTTAATGAGTAACTCAAATTTAAAAGATTATTCAGAGATGCAGGTGCTAGAATAGTAAAAAATATACTATTCTATCATTTCAGAATCATGAAGATTTACAATATTAAAATACAGTTATATTTAGGAATCCGAAGATGAGAGTGTATTGTTACCCCAAAGTGTTCTTACAACACCAATATGGCACACTGACCTTCCTATCTTGGCTGTGTGGGATCTTCCTAAATGTCACCTATTTTGTTGTTATCTAAGTGATATTTTTTTCAAAATGACACTATGAAAAAAGAACTAAATAAAATGACTAGGGGATAAAAGGAATAATCTTAGTTTGAAAATGAATATTCTATTTAATCACTAATGCTAAATTTCAGCAATTTTTTAATCTTATATTTCAGGTTATAATTAATTTACCTGAATAATGTCAAAAAAAATTGTTCATTTCATTTCAAATTTAAACCAATAAGTACTACTGCCATATCAATCCCAAATATACTAGAGTGTGCGTATTTCATTTTATGAGAGATGATACAGATGGTATTTTTCATAGTCCTCTATGAAACATGTACTTTCTTTTTCAGTCCTTAAGAAATATCAATAACAGACTTTAAAATCAAAGTCTATTTTAAAGTCTATTGCAATCCATATTAATGTTCAAATTGTCTTTTAAAAACAACATATTAGGCATTTGCTTTTAAATCACAGCCCTCCTCCAATGTTATGGGCAATTTTCTAAAAATACTTTTACACAAAGTTCTGGTTTTTCTATCTCAACATGTTGAGCATATTAATCAAACAAGAATATTTTAATACCCTTTGCCAGGCTAACTTCAGATAAATAACAATAGCCATATTCACCATGTAACTTTTGCTTTGGTTTACATTTTTCTATAGCCCTAGAGATATACATGTAAGAGTAAACTGTAAAGTGGAGTGTGTAGATAATTCTGTCCAACTTTCTTTTTTCTACAAAGTTTATGAACGTAAAACAAATATTGCCTAAAGCAGTGATTTGTAAGTATGATTTACAATAATAGTCTCATGTTTTCTCCAGTTTTCTTAAGAAGCAGTCAGTTCTAAATTCTAAAGAAATATCTACAGGTTATTTTAAAATTAAAATGTGTATGATTTAGCATTTTGAAGTTCAAAATGCTCTTCCTATATGCTATTCCCACAAGCATAGGATGAAAGAATGTCGCTACTGCAAAATTACCAACACTCTATAGTATTTTCAACTTTAAATAATACAATAATACTTTTCTAATGAAATCTGCCAAGTGGAAACAAATTAGCATTGGTCCTCCGTTCCACTTTACTTATAAATATGATTCAATGAGGATGCCCCCCAAACATGTCAAATATCAACATTTCATATCCATAGCAATTTATGCAGGAAATCATAAAATAACGTCTTATTTTACTCATAGCACAATATATGTAATGAAACACCAGTTTGCATAAGATTGTTTAGAAAACATGGTATCTTTAAAATATTATGATACCATTTAAAATCATCTCTCTGTCATCTCAAATCCTACAGCTTGCTTTAATTCTATTGCATTTATCATTGTATATCAAGCATTGTATTGTAGTTTTTGGATACATAGAGTCTGCCTTCTTTTGACTATAAGGTTCTTTTGTGTAGGAAAAGGTCATTCACTTCAAAATCACTGTTAGTCTTTGTCTAATGAATGAGTAAATTAAATAGACTATTTTACCACAGTTCATGGCTTTTGTGTAAGAGGAGGCAGTCAATTTAGAAAGCTATTGAAGTAGCCTTTCAAACATTAGTGTGCCTTTTATGGGGGAGGGGGCATCATCTGAGGCAAATAACAAAATAAAATAATTAGCTCTGTAAAACAGAACACTTTGGTACCAACTGGAAATCACATAAATCGATGTCTCACAGGGGGCTGTCAGCCATTTCACAGTGGTGTAATTTCAGGAATTCTAACTTTTACCTCTCTTTCATAGCTGTTACACTTAATAACTTTGCTCTTTAGCACACTTGATCTTTCATGAGAATTGTATAAAATCTGTTTTGCTTACTGAAATTAGAATATGTGCAAAAAGGGGGCATGCGCCAACACAAAATTGATTCCGAATTGAATGCCTCATTTCAATTCACAGACCGGTATTTTTCAAAAGTACAGTCCCTGATTTGTTGAGATCTGCAATTTTCACAATTCAAGGACGGTTTCTAATTAACAGTTTACTGTATAGCTATCGTATGATTTCATATAATACAACTTCATAAGTTTTGTGTAAGTTTTGGACTTACACACAAAAAAAATCACAATGACATTTCCACTGCTTAGTAGGCCCTGTGGAGGGCTATGAAGTTCACAAAATCATATCTCCTAACACAGGAAAGGAAGGCAACTGACTTGCAGTCAATAAATAAGAGAGAAAAAAAGAAAACTTAGACAAAAACCCTCTAATATTAAACTTTGAAATTCTTATGGTTTTACAAATGACAATTTACAAAAACAATTTAGAGGGAAGGAAGGAAGAAAAAGACAACGGTGTGATGGATTTCAGTATCTTCCCCACATCAAGCTTGCAACAAATGTTTGCCCCAACAGGTAGTAAAGAACTGCATCCCCAACTATCAGAGTTTCCCATGCAAAATCAGCTCTGGTTTTACAGCTGAGAACAGTCCAGAGCAGGGAGGATCACCTGAGCCCGGGGAGGCCGAGGCTGCAGTTAGCAGTGATCGCGTCACTGCACTCCAGCCTGGGCAACAGAGTGAGACCCTGTCTCGAAAGAGTGCAGAGGAGACTCAACCACAGCACCTCTCACTAAGCTTTCGCTCAATGCCTGCTTGAAGTTCTACTCACACAAAGTCAAATCAACTTTCGCGCAAATAGATCTACCCCTAGGGTGAATTGTTCGTTTGTTATCACTCATTCTTTACTTTTTCATTATCTTATCACCTAAGGGAACGAAAAGTAAACGCCTCCAAAGTGAAGGCGATGGGTCTCTCACACTCTCATTAGTGTCCATATTGCAGAGCAGTTCCCCAGAACTTGAAGTGCTTCTGTTAAACAACTATTCCTGCCCGCCTAAGGGCACGTGCTTGTTTCAAAGTTTCTTTCCAGAACAACCATTTCCTTGAGCAAAGAGTTAATGAAAGACCAAACTCACCTTGTTTTTCCTCAGGATAATCTTGCTGGAAAACCTCGAAAGCGGGGGTCGCGGAACCACTGGCGTGTCTCAAGGCACCGAGTCCCAGCGCAGCCGCCGCCGCAGGGCCGCCAGGGGCCTGGGGATTCTCCGCTCTGCCGCCGCCCCCGGGTGCCCGACCCCCGGGGGGCACGGAGAGCCCGGAGCACAGGAGCCTCTGCAGCCCCCGGGCTTCGCTCTCCTCCTGCGCCTGCTGTCTGCGCAGCGCCACCTGGGCGGCCATGACGCGCTGGCGCTCGGCGATCAGGGTGCACTTGGCACACGCGCAGTCGCGCCAGCGGCAGAAGCGCTTGTGGCCCTTGAGCGCCGACACCACGCCGTGGTTGCGACAGCGGGCGCACTTGGGCGTCCGCGGGTATCCGCAGCCCACCGCGCCCACCCCCCTCTCCAGCCCTGGAGCGGGCGGGCAGCCTCGGCTTCCCGAGGTGGCGGCGGCGGCGGCGGCGGCCGCAGCTCGCAGAAAGAGGCTGGGCGGCCGCAGGAACGCTGGGGGAACCTGCATCGCCGACGGTACCGGCAAGGCCGGGGAAGGGGGCGGAGGCGCAGCCACCACCAGCCCCGGGGCCAGGTGGGGTCGGCCGCTACCGCCGCGGTCTCTGCCGCCACACTGTGCCCGCTCCATTCCCGAGAAGTTTCCGGCCTGGAGTCGCAACTGGAAAGTGCGCTGAGCGCAGCTAACCCTGCGGAGAGGCTGGGGGAGCCGGGCAGGACGCGCCGGGGTCCTGCTGAGCCCCACCCGCGCACGGACGAAAGTTTGACACTTTCCGCTCGGAGTCGGGACGACCGAGTCCCGGAGCTGGAGGCGCTGAGAGGTGCAGCCGTCCCGTGAGCCTGGCACAGTCCCGGGCCGCTAAGTCAATTAATGCCCCTGTGCCTCCAGCCGAGAAGGCGAGGCTGGAGAGGCTACCCCGCCCACCCGGGCTCCGGGCCAAGCGCGGAAGCGGGGGAGGGCCCGGGGCGGAGAGTGGGAACCTTCTGGGAGGAGAGGCGGCGACGAAACCGGCCGAAGGGCTGCCAATGTCTCCTCCCCCCAAAACGCCCGTTTCTCTTTCTTGCTTTCCCAGGAGGTTTCGACGACTACTTTTGTAAACTGGTCTTTGCAGCGTCCGCTCTTACTGCCCTTTTAAAATTAAGCAGAGTTTGAATTTCTCCTTTTCCCACTTCCACGCTTCTCCTAAGAAAGTTTGAAACTTTGGATTTTGACGTCTTCTTTCAGGTTCCCAGATGAAGTCTTCATGACTGCAGCAGCTTTGCCAGCGTTAGTGCGAGCACGGCCTGATAGACTACAAATTTGTTACCAGAAACATGCCTTATTCTAAAAGGGTCTTAGGGCAGCGTCAAAACAATGGAAAAATAATGAAGGGAATTGATTCACATTCAGATTCTTTTCATGCATTCTATTTATTGACACGTGCAAATATGGATTGTGTGTATTATATTTTAAAATGCTGCTGCTTTAAATAAAGTTATAAATCTCTGCAAATATTTATAGGCAGCAATTGTGTTAAAGATGTTTCAAAAATACTTATGTCAATTGTAAAGTATTGAGAAAAGTCGTTTAGATCATTATTTAAATATACTGTCACAAATGCATTCTTCACATATGAATTTAATGCCTTTATTAAAAAAAGATCATAAGGTGTTTAAATCGAAAGAGCATCTGAGGTAGAAAATTCATGAATGTTTATTATTAATGGAAGGTAGCCTTATCGCTCTGCCAGCTCTTCAAGATGGTATCCAACTGCCTTGGACAGATTATTCACTTTCTAGTCCTAAGATAGCAAGTAATAATGATATTTTACCATTCCACCTGTTCACATTCAGAGCAGACATTGCTGATCTATCTGGCCTTTCTGCTGCAAGCCTACTCAACACCATCATCACCACTACCATCCTCTCATGCAAGCATCCCATTGGAGAGGTTTTCCACCCTTCCTAATTACTGGAACTACCTAGGGAACTTTTAAAAGAGTTAGGCACTCCAATCTACATAATGTATTCTGATTCTTTTGGTCTGTGTCTTAAACTCTGAAGGTGATAATTACATACAATGTTCAGAATTAGCACTCAAGGAATTCCTAACCTTTGGGATTTCTAAGATACCCAAACTTTCTCACAACTCTTTATCTTTGCTCAAGATACTCCTGCCTAAGTGATGTCCTGAGGACTCACATTCATCCTATGAGAGATGAGTTATTAGTTCTACGTGGATCATTAAAATACAATGAATTACTTAGTAAGAAAGCAGATATCTTTTCTATTCTTTTTAGGAACTTCTAGTTACATAATGGGAATGTTCAGCTTAATGCAAGTATGTCTTTTAAATTTTTAAAAAAACCTTTTAATTGTGTTTTTCTTTGTTGTTTTAATAATAACAACAAAGAGCAGAAAGTAAAATGTTTACCTAGAATTTAGCAATATTTTTCTGTTTTTATTTGATGTTTAAAGTTATAATTATGGAAAGTGATACTAGTTTTCATCCAATGAAGTAAAAATAGTTTTTAAGTAAATGTATTTATGTTAAATATTTATCAGCTTAAATGAAGAGTGATGCAGATAATCTGTACATGGCAAAATAAACAGGTCTGGAAAACATTGCCTTGGTGGTTTTGCAGTCAAAAACCGTTGTTCTCAAATTCTAGATCCTCTTTTAGTAAGTTACTTTATCTAACTCTGATCCTCAATTTCCTCATTTGTAAAATGAGAATAATCATATGATTGCTTGAGGATTAAATGAGATAACATACCTAAATCATAATGCATATAATGAGATACATATTTTACTGCTTCTAACGCCTAGGTTATCAACATATATTACTTTTATTAAAAATTTTTAAAATATTAATATTTAGGAATATTTCAAATGCTAAATGAGAATTTTATTATATTTTGGAATAACTTCCTTGCCTTAAATGAACTCTAAGACTACATACTTTTTATACATTCTAGCAAATATAGGAGAAAGGTATCCAAAATTGTTTGTTGGTGAACCAAAATTTTAATACCAAAATTGGTATTAAAAATGTAACTATTTTCATAGTAAGTATCCCATCTTGGACTTTGGGTGATTTGCCTAAGTGATGACAGTGCTTTCAGGAGAAAAGATTATTGGCCAGGAAATTAAGAGAGACGGGTTAATAAATAATGTATCTGACGGAAGGTAAGGGCACTTCTAATGACTGGATTTGTGGTGTTGAAAAGTAACTCTCTCTTTTTGGTCTTGGTTACTCAGTTGCAAATGAGACCGTTGGGTTAAATAATTTCTAAGATTATTTAAACTTTAATAATTTATAACTTTAATGCAGGCATGTCTAATACACGATCATTGTGCTTTTAATATATTAGCAATAGAAAATCTGAAATTAAATGAAAAAAAAATTTTGTTTTACCCTAACACTGAAGTAGCTCTATATTACTATAAGACAAAATAGATTTCAGAGCAAATACTATTACTAAGAATAATATTTACTTCATAAAAATAAGACATCAATTAATTAAGATACTATAATTCTAAATATATATGCACCTAATAACAGTGCCTCAAAATTCAAGAAGCAAAAACAACTTTAAAAAGAAATAAATATATCCACAATTATAGTCAGATTTCAACATCTTCTTTCAATAATTGATAGTATAGGCAGTAAACCCGTAAAAATGTAGACAATTTGAACCACACTGTCAACAGATAGACCCAATGAAATATATACAGTACAGCATTCAACTCAACAACTGCAGAATGCTCGTCTTTTTGAAGTGCATATGAAACATTTACCAATCAATCATATTCTGGACCATAAAAGCAAGCCTGAATAAAAAGATTCAAGTTGTACAAAGTCTGCTTTTTGACCACAATGAAATTGAATCAAAAACCAATAAAAGAAAAAAATCAAGCCCTAAAATGTATAGGAATTAATAACACATTTTAAAATTACTCAAAAGGAGAAAGATAAAGGAAAATAGTATTTAAACTGAGTAAAAATGAAAATACAACATATCAAAATTTGTGGGATGCAGTTAAAGCCTTACTTTAAGGAGACATTTATATCAATAAACACCTATATTAGTAATAAGAAATCTCAAATCAATGACCTCAGTTTTCAACTTGGGAAACTAGAAGTGGAGCATTAAATTAAACCAAAATAAGTAGAAAAAAGAAAATTATTTAAAAATTAAAAGAAAGCAATGCAACAGAACATAGAAAAATAATTTAAAATAAAATGCAGCGAAAAGCTGGTTCTTTGAAAAGATCAATAAAACTGATCTCTAAACTAATCAAAAATATAGGAAATGAAACATGTGAAAGCACTACAGATTATACAGAAAATAAAAGAGAAATATTATAGACAACTTTATGCTATTAAATTAAATGACTTATGTAAAACAGACCAATTTATTTTAAAAACACAGTTGCTCCAGGAGAAATAAATAAACTGAAGCCCTTTATTTATCCAATAAATTGACAAAGCTTAAAACATTCTGACAAAGAAAATTCAAGAATCAGATGTCCACACTAGTGAATTTTACCAGGTGTTTAAGAGAAATAGTACCAATTATACACAACCTCCTACAGAAAATTTCTTAAATCATGGAATATTTACTAGTTCTTTCTATACACTAACATAACCCTGATAACAAAATAAGACTAACATCACATTAAAAAAAAAAAAAACTACAAATATCCCTCATCTATTTCTG